TCACATGCTTGCTACATAGACATGAGGGCCAGAGTTTAGATCCTTAGCCCCTTTGTAAAGAGCGGGGGCATGATCCTTGCGCATGCCTGTAACTGCAGCAAGGGTTGGGGAGAGACAGGAGGATCTGAGGGCTTGCTGGCCTGCTGGTTTAGCCAGATGATCAGCTCCAGTGAGACCCTGACCCCCAAATAAGGTGGAGAGTGGGAGAAGATCCCAGGCGTTGATCTCTGGCCTCTATACTGTGCACACACATGCACAGCCTCCCAATCATTTCCCAGGTACTTCATTAGACTCAAACTTTCATGGCTTGTTTTCTCTTGCATTCAGTTAACCACTTTCTCACTTCCCTGCATTTGATCTGTAATTTACTCTTAGATCTTTTTGATGTATCTGAAACTTAATCTTTGTTATTGAACTTTTAAAACTGTCTCATCTTTGTTATTGAGCCTTTTAAATTCCATCACATCAGAAGCAGCATACCTTATGAAATTTGAATTAAGGTTTTGGAAATTGGTTTACGCCTCCCACTATGCTTTGTCTGGTATCGTTTCCATCATGTGTGAAGATTGTGTAAGGTGCTACCATGGTTGGACTGATCTTCATTTAGGTTACATTAGGTCAGAAACAGGGCTGTTCAGGCTTTATATATCTTCACTGAATGAAGGCTGGACATTTTTAGTCATTTCTTCATTTTTATACCTTCCCCACACCTTTCTTTTTTTTTATAATTTATTTTTTCTCAAATTGTAATTCATTCACACAGTGGTTATAAACACAGAAAGGCAGGATGTGGGGAAGGGAATGACACTGGAGTGTGGGTGATCAGGGGGAATACAGATATCATCAGAACTGGGTATCGGCTGGGTGAAGGTTCAGGGGACAAGTCACTATGACTCTGCCTATGACTCACTTGTCCTTATTTAAGTTGGTATTGTCTTCCAAGGCTACCTATTTACAAGGTCTATGACTACTCAGGCTTGTAAATTTCCAGAAAAGCTGCCTGTTTACATTAGCTTATAGCCATCTGTTTCAATGTTTTCCCACTGAGACCCAAGACTTGGTGTTAGTATACATGTATGACAGGCCTATGGCTGATTCTAGGCCTTCAGTCCCCACACCTTTCATTCTGATTCTCTAACACTAGTCTTATTTTTACTTTGGTTTAGTCGTTTCTTACTTTGATCTGTAATTTTACTCTGTGATTATTTCCATATATTTGAAACTTAATCTTTGTTGTTGAACTTTTAAAGATCATCTTTGCTGATCTTTTATTATTTTGTGTCTCAGATGTTAATTCTACCCAGGACACTTACATCTCCTTTAGTTATGTCATTGAGATGGCAGTGTCCCTCTTCTCTCTCAGCATGCTCACATCTCTTCTTGAATATGAAACATTTATGCCCTAATGTCACATTCGGTCATCTGTATCATTTCTGGATTTGTTTCTCTTTGCTGCAGTATTTCTTTTCCTGCTTCTTTCTTTCTTTCCAGGAAGTTCTGGTTCTAAGCCATCTTGAATTGAATTCTAAATTGTTGGGTAATTATTGACACACATGTCTATGTAATATGAGCATGCAAACAACACATACTGTATTATAAATATAAGTAAATACTCTTGAGCTTTGTACTGGGACATGATTAAGTTATTTGAAGGCACTCTTTCTTTTCAAAGTGTGTTCTAAGTTTAGGCAGGAGCATCTGAGCTTTCAGAGATAATTCGACCCCACACTAGCCAGTCATTGTCCATGTTCACTAGGTTGCTGTGTTCTTGCTAATGAGAACATGACCACTCCCAGGCTAAGTGAGGCAGGATAACTGACAACTCCTTCTTTCTGCTTCTCTACTTTATCTGGGTACTTCCGTGGGCATTAGTTGATGACACTGAAGGCTTGAGAACCTCTACCCACCAGCAGAGCTTTTTGCTCTGCAAATTCTTGCTATATAGCCTCCTCACACTCTCAGTTGTCAACCAAAGGAGACAGCATAGTTTAGGGTGGCCTCTTCAGAGAAGCTCTGGCAGTTTGGGGGCTGACATTTACCTATTCTTAAGAGAGTCTATCATATGTGTTTCACCCCAAATGACTAAACACTTTTCTTGTTGTTATTTAATCATATATCTTTTGCTAAAGAGTATTCTGTCTGCATGTACATACATGCACCCAAGTACATGCCTGGTGCCCACAGACATCAGAAGGTGTCAAAAGCCTTGGTGCTGGGGTTACAGATGACTGTGAAATACGACACAAGTGCTGGCAACTGAACTTGGGTCCTTTGGAAGAAGAGCAAACGCTCTTAACCAATGGGCCATCTCTTCTCCAATTCTCCTGTGGTTTTTTTTTTATCTTGTCTGGAAATGAAATGGATTGTTAGACTCTAATGCATTCAGTAAGCATGTAATCTATTGAGGCAACCCCTGTCCCTGGGCCTCGTGAGGAATATGCCTTCCCCATTGTTAGATGTTAAGGAAGACCTGTCTTCAATCACTTTTCACTGGCATAACACATTTTTTTATAACTGACCCAGACAGGAAACCCCACTTCTATGGTTTTTGTCAGAATCCTAGTACCTCAAAAGACACAGCAGAACCTTTAAAGCCAAATCCAGTAAGGATATAATGCTCGAGGCAAATACAACTGAAGAAAACCCAGTCACAGCAGATTGGAAATCAATGGCCAGAAGCTAAAACTGCTGCCTCTTTCCAAGAGACAGCACTTCAGCTCAGCATGCTGTCTCATCAGGGCAGCAGATTTCCCCGGAAGCACCCCAGCTTGGCCTACATACTCTATGATGCTTGCGCTTGTTGTGGCTGTGACCTGCTTCCTGAGCAGAGAACGGGCAGAACCCGCTGGAGTGGGTGAATGATCAACATCTGGATGTCCTCCCTCCCCTTCCGGCCCCCTCTTTAGGAACTAGGTTACTTTCTTTGTTAGCCCCTCCCTAAGGGCTCTGCTGTTCAGGTTCATACCACTGCACAACAAGGACAAGAAAGCACCCAACAAAAACAAGGGGAGCTTCAGGCCTGGATGTGGCCTGTGCTTCTTTTTACCACATAGATCTAAACTGTGATGAAATATTCCTGAACCAGGGAAATGGAGAAAATATTCATCTAATCTGAATCTTTCAGTAGCTGCAGACGATGAGTTTAATGTATTAAGGGACACTGAAGGAAATCAGGTCTGAATGGTTTAATATTTTCAGAATTACCTCTGCATAATTTGGGTCACTGTGTGTGCGATGAAAATAGGGATATAAAAAGTAGTGCCTTGAAGCCACATAAAGAATATTCCAGAAGCCCCGTACGACTGAGAAGGGCAGGCCTGCATTTAGATAAAGAACATGACAAAAAGCAAGAAGTCATTAACAGTAACGTGATCTAGCCTGATGAGAAAAGGCACTTTATCAACTTCAAGCTTGGATTGTGTTGCTGAAGTCTTGGGCTGCACCGGCTGTCCCTGATGAAGACTTTAGAGCCCTTATCAAAGTCACATGACATACATGTGGCCTGGCTCTGCCCACCAGAATGTTCGCAAGCCCTCTACCTGTCTACCAGGGTTCTGGCAGGGAATGGAGGCTGGTACTACCCTCCCCTCTGGGTACTGTTTACATAGTGACATGTTTACTTATATACTGCAGTCTTTTGCACAGTGCTCCAAAGTCAGTAGAGTCTTTCTGCATGTTCCCCTACACAAAGGTTGAGCTTTCATACTTCTCTTGCAGATTAAGAAATGGGGGCACTACAGAGTTAACAGAAGTGAAGTGACTTGGCCAGTGTCCCAAATGCAAGGACCTAATCAAAAACAAAAGACTACAGTGTTGCTTATTAGAACGCACCGGGTCCTTCCATACAGCATTAGTGAAGGATGCTGGAGTCTGGAGGCCATTTTATGGGTTATGTTTTCTGATTCTGCTTCACTCAGTATTTCCTAGAGCACTGTCTGTGCATAGTTGAACATTACCTTCCACAAGAGGCAGCAGGGTCCAGGGCACAGGACTGAGCAGCAGGCTATCTGGAGGTGACGTGAGTGACGTGGTCTTCTGTTACTGTCTGATGGTGTGACGCTTCTTCAAAAAGCAGCACTCATCTACTGCTGACGGAAGAGTAGACACACGCTCCTAGGAAGAAGTTCCTAGCATGGCTCTCAACCCAGCAACCCCTGGAGGGCCTGGGTTTACTGTCAGGAGCAAAGGTTCAGGCTTCAGATTTCTATGAGTCATATGTGCAGTTGGCTGTCGAGTTCATTAGGAGTGTATTTCAGCAGGTTAAACAGGGACGGTTCTGTCACACAGCCAATCACTGGAAGGAGCTCACATGGATATCGCCTGCAGTGATCTCTAAGCTCCCCGCTTCATGCTTAGAGTGAAACTAACGCTTATACATTAAGTTATACTTGTTTCACATGATCATCAGTACCCCCACCAAGCTTGTCAATGTCAAGTCGTTTGGAACAGCGCTGACCTTGATGATAAAGCACACATTAATGTGTCAAAAGCAGTCAGGAAAGCTGAGCCAGCACTGGAACACCACAAGGAGTTAATTCTGCAATAGTGTGGAGTATTAAATGTGGAGCTGTAGTGGCCTGATTGTGTGGCAGGTATCATCAGCGTACAAAATCATGGCCTACTTTTCCTTAGAGACTGTATGCAGGCAATGCTCCTACTAAAGTGTGAATACCAAGATCTAACCATGTAGTAGATATTTGTACTTTTTCCCCCCTTCCTTCTCCCTCTTGCTCCAGCCCACTCACTCCGGCCCAAAGGTTTATGTAAGTACACTGTAGCTGTCTTCAGACACCCACAAGAGGGCATCAGATCTCGTTATGGATGGTTGTGAGCCACCATGTGCTTGCTGGGATTTGAACTTATGACCTCCAGAAGAGCAGTCAGTGCTCTTAACCACTGAGCCATCTCAGCAGCCCAGTATTTGTACTTTTTGACGTGATCACGATGCAAAGGGAAAAAGAATACGAGTAACCGAATCTTTTTCTTTACCTCATACAAAGGGTTTGCCGTGAGCCTGCAAGTCATCTTGTCTAACCCGAAAGCTGTGTTTAAGCGCCGTGGATCTCAGCCAGGGATGCAAGAATCTGACTTTCTAAAGCAGATCACAACAGTTGAAGAACTGGAACCGAAAGCTAGTAACTGCACCAAGGTACTTCCTTATCTCCCTCATGCAGCTGAACCTTGAGTGCTGACAGGGCGGCTGTTTATATTGTCCCCTTCCTCTGCAGGTTCTCGTGTGGCACACTCGGACAGAGAAGGTCAATCTAGCCAATGAGCCAAAGTACCACCTGGACACAGTGAACATTGAAGTGTAGCCGCCAGGACCAGCAGGGGAGGAAGAGGAAGTCTGGAGCTTAGGCTGCTGCTCATTCAGGTACTGGTCCTTTGCCTTCAGCCTTTCCTGTCAGCCAATGGACATCCATTTCGACAGCTACCTGGATGCTTCAAAATGTGTTGTCTTCATCTGTTCTGCATGTGTTCTCTGAATTGGAAGATTTTTGTACAGTGAAGCTACACGACACTGGAAAGAACACCAGGGTATCTCACACTGCTCCTCCCTCCCTCCCTTTCACCAAGCCATCTCATAGCTGGGAGAATGAAATAGGTTTTAGAATATTCCGTCAATTAAACATTCCCAATTAAATTCTTGGCTTCATAACATGAAATATTTGGAAAGCTGGTGGCAGTGTACACTGTAGGAAATAAAACCCACAAATAAAAAAAGGTGTGTGGATTCATCTGTTTAATATAGGGAAATAACATTTTGTCAATACTAGGCACCATAAAATGTAAACACAATTACTGTCATAAACCTGGATATACCTTCAAGGATTAAAAGTGGCTTTGTTTTAGTTACCCTGTGTGCATATAGTGCAGAAAAAGGTCTTTATATTAGCACTATGTACATGAGAAGAGGTCCACATTACAAGAGGCAATGGAAATTTGAATTCTGAAACCTTCATTGAGTTTTACAGTACCATCCAGGTTTATCTGCGTTCACTAACCACGTTCCCTGTTAAGCACATCATAACAACAGCACAGTGGAGTGAGTGATGAATAAAAGAATTTGATACACTAGAAAACAGTGCTCAGTGATACATTTACATTCTATTTATATGATTAAACATTTGATCATACAGTACCTTCCTACAGGATTACTGGCTAATTTAGGGGTAGGGTTTATACTGTTAGAGGTATTACTAACATGATAACTACTTCCCTTATATGCAAACGTTAGAGCTATAATTTTGAGAATAAAACCGATTATGCAAGTTAACTGAGCAGCTTCTCAATGTGGTTTATGACATCATGGGAAATATGAGCAAAGCTGCCCTCCACACAAGATGGTTTCTCAACCTGCTTTCACATCAAATTTAATCAGCACAGACCAACACGGTCAATCAGGTAATTCTTAATGTGAACAAATGGGGGAAAGAAAAAAAATATGTATGTACATGAATAAATGGGAACTAGATGCCTTTGTCGCGAGGAATGTCAGGTGTCGGTTCTGGATGAGACTCTGGTGCAGCTCCTTACTTCCACAGCTGTGTGCTCAGAGTCTGCCCCGATGAGCTTCCAGACCACCCTGCTGTCGTGCTGGGGGGCTGGCCAAAACCTGCACTAGCATTTGCACTACTGAGGTTCATGGCAGCCATCTGCTGATTCATCTGTGAAACACAAAAGGATCAGTTTACGAGGACGATTCACTTTTCACTCTTGACTCTTTAGCTACAGCCAGACACTTCATCAGATGTGAAAATTAGTGGAGACACTGGAGGTAGACCACACAGAAGTCTCTCTACTGAAATCAAACAACTACTTTTTTCTGAGTTAGGCATTACTTATAAAGTAATCCATAATTAGTTCACTTTCTAAATTAACCACAACTGAAAACCACACCAAAGTAATCTTTGATTTTGTATCTGACTGAATCCATCACTCTTCTGTGACTCCCAAGGACTGAGAAATTTTAGAAAGTAAAACATCCTAAAATTACCCTAACATTGACAAAATACCTGTAATTCTCTATTAACATCCTAAATGGCCCTAATATACTTCATAAACATTAGAAAGGTCATATAACATATGTTTTAGGTTTTATGTTATAGTAACAAACAGCTAAAATTGAATTTTACTATATGCTGTACAATAAACAACTGCATGCATTTTTCTTCCAGGCTCGAATCCAATATACTTATCAGGCTCTTAGAACAGTGTTTCTCTCACTACCCAGTTTGGTGACGGAACGAGAGACGCAGGATTTACTGAAAATAGTTTCAAACCTATTCTCAACATTAGCTGTGTTCTTTGTACAGAATTTTATTTTTAATTTTTTGAAAACCTAAGACATAATAACCACAAATGTGTCTACAGGCAGGCAGACTCCACCTTCCCCTCTGCTCACGAAGATTCATATGACGTTGTTGACACTGGCTCTCCTGAAATTTAACCTGAGTCGAGTGAGCCTCAGCATCATGGTCACAAAAAAGTTGTTACTAATATCTGACACATTTTCGAAGTTTCCAATGCATAAGCAGTGTGTGCAGGTATTCCTATACACCTCAACTGTAACAGCATAGGAGCACTTGTAAGCTGTACGGTGATTTTGTGAATGTTAGTTAGCAGGCAATGTTCTGAAGGGTTTGAGCGGTCCTGGTTCCTGTAAGATGCTTTAGTGGATCATCATGCAGGAAAGGGACTGGAACCATGAGCACTAAGTCTCTCTGTGTGGAGCGACAACAGAAATGTTACTCCTTGCTTTAACCTAAGCCAGACAGACATGGAATTTATCAGTGAATACCTGAGGTAAGCAGGTTTACATTCTCACCATAGGGGCTCCTGAGCCAACGGATGTTCCTCATAAATCAACAGGCAGTAACCACATGACAGAGGCAGCCTTGATCCCTCATCAAACTGTGCTTTGAGAATATGAAGCTGGATTTCTTTCTCATTGATAAGAATTAATAAAAAAAGATGCAAGCTTATCAGTGAAGATAACTCTCGTCTAAGTGGACTATAAAGAGATCCCACCCAGGAGCCGAGTAAGCATGGCACCAAGCCAAGGAGTTAAGGTGTGTCTCTTATATGCTCCCCAAGGTAACTTCTAGCTAGTTACGTGCATGTTCGCCATTACAACTCCGTTACAGTCTGAAATGGGAAAAGGAAAACTCCTAACATTTATTTATAGAATACTCTTAGTAAGGACAGTAGCTAGTCATTTATCTATAAACACTTGGATCTGATCAAACTTATCCCTTTCTTATGTTCCTCAATAGCTTTCAAAGCAAATAAGAGTACCCAAAATACAAATGTGGTTTCTTGCGTATTAGGATGGTAGCCTTACCTGTGAGAGGTTCCACTGAGGCTGCTGGGCTTGTGGCAGGCCGAACTTACTCTGTGGTGCACCCATTTGTCCCACCATTCCTCCCTGAGGGCCAACAACATTCTGAGGAAGTGGCATCACTCCAGTCTGTGCGTTTCCCATGAACCCATTGTGCATGGGCATGCCCACCATCATGCCTGTATTCTGTCCCATCATATTTCCTATAAGGCCAGGAGCTGCAGGCACTGGGACGCCCATGGAAGGAAACCCTTGAAACGCGGCCGGTGCTTGTGAGGTAAATGGTATATTTGTGGGTCCCATAAACACACCTGTATTGTAAGAACCATGAATAAAAAAGAAAAGAACAGGTCAACAAGAGGCTCTTTTATATGGCTGTACTCCTCTCCAGAAACAAAAAAAGGGCAGACAGCTGAAAACAACCCAAGCCTCAACCTTCAGAGCCTGTTATTTCCAGGATGCAGACAGACGTCTGGTATGCTGCACAGACTCACAGCCTAAGAGTACATGCTGCCCCTGATGACTCGGGCAGGTAGAGTGGTAGTGATTTGTTTTATAAGGAAGTAGGTGAGTGGCCACACAGTTTCAGTCTATATGTGAAATAAGCTTATTTTGGGACGAAGGGTCTGATGGATTAAAACTGAATAAATCATATGCTTATAATTTCACTATAATGAAAGACACTTCCAAGTTTTGCATAATTATATGTATGTATAGTTCTGACTGCTTATTTGTTTACCTGCAGAGGAAACAAAAGTATACACAAAGTCAAATTTCATGTAACTCCAAATCCAGTAATTCCTGAACAATACCTCCTGTCTTATAAACTTGTAGAGCAATATTAAGTGATATGTGAACAACTTGTTAAGTCTCAAATGAATAAAGTTCTGTGAATCCTATATTGTTTAATTCTAATGCTTCATTCATTTCAGTTATATAAGCTGGAACAGAAGCATCCACTACTACCATAGGAAAATGTAACTGATGTAGTTTCAGAGGATGTATTCTATAACACCATGTCACTGACTGGAAGCAGAGCTCAACATCAATTACCAGGAGTGCTTTGCTGTGCTCCTGTACCATACAGAGATAAGATGGAGTCTTTGGAGAGTTGTTTCTTTGCTACTTCTTCTGACTTTGTAGTTTGCTCAGTAAACAGATCCAGGTCCCCAGACGTTACCGTAGACAGGGTAGCAGCTGCTGGTATGGAGGCAGTCCCCTGGGAAGAACACCAAAGCAACTGTTAATGTCCATGCAGCCCGGCTCATCTATCACTAACGGTCACATTCAATTATGAACTTGGTAGTATATTCTAAGAGGAGAATGCTGACATCTCTGAAGATCACTTTCCAGCCTCCACACAAGCATCTAGAATGCAGGTAAAATGTCATGGCATGACCTGTAGTGAAAACCAAGGAGCCCGGAGCTCCCCCAGCTCCTAAGCAGCTGGGAAAGCGCAGTTTTCCCAGCTCATGGTCCTGGATCACAGTGGGTATGACAACATGCAGGTGCAGTCTGAAGACTGCCACCACTTCTCTCAAGAACTAGGGTCACTCGGAATAAAGAATGTTACAACTTGCAGAAGCAAAGGTTCTGTAACGGTAGATTAAAAGCTTTTATCTTTTCAAAGCTATACCATAAAACATTTGCACATCTATTCTAGTTTATTTTAATAATACTAGAATCCATCTAATCCAGAAAGTAAGTACAGAAAACTGGCTACCTATATTCAGCCATATCCTTCATGCTAGTCAGAGGCAAATCAATACAAGTAATTTAGATATGTATTATAAAACAAGTTTTCCATTAACTGACTATATCTTACACAAAGATAGATTTACATAATTATAACTGATACACTTGCTTAATCATTTGTTTTAAATAATGAAGAAAATAAAAGATTCTCTGAAGTCTAGTAAACACTGGTTCATATTCTTCTGAAGCTTCAGATAGAGGTAGATTAACAAGCAGAAGTTAAATTCACATGTTCATTGTCCTGGATAGAACACCATGCAGTAAATTACCATCAAAGCATTTCGTTCAAACTTATTTAAGAAGAACCATATTTTGACTCTGACTAACAGAGCAAGACTTGTAAGAGACATAGAAAAAGTTGTCTTATTTTATAAAAACTCTAAAATGTGTAAGAAATTAGACACGACAGACTACCAAACCTAATAGTGTCTTTTAATCTGACTGTATTTTGGTTACTAATGAAGAAGCATGGCATCACAGCGGCCAATATAATGTTTCCTAGCCAGTTTTGCTGGATGTGATCCCTACTCTTGAGTCTTGGGCTAAGGTCCCCTTACATTTACACGTCACCTGACTTCTGTCCTATAAAATGAGGGCAGGCTTTGTA